TAGTGACCTTTGTAATAACTATGCAAGCTAACTACCAGTGGCTCTGGTAACCTTGTGCATGTCTTGCTAAGAACAAAATGCAAACTAATTTTATGATAGTGGATGACCACAGAAGAGTCCATTGTACATTCTTTTCTAGTTGTAGTAAAATAACGTTCCCACTCTTTGCTGAATGCATCAGTTGTACTAGAAGGGTGTCTATTATGTGTAAGGCTTCCTTGGACAAATCACTTAATTTTTCTCTTCCGCAGTTTCCTATCTGTAAAATGGGGACAATAACACTTGTGAGGATAAATCCATAAATGCTTGGGGGTGGAGGGTGTTCAGTTATTGCAGTGATGGGGGCCTTAGAAATACTTGTATAGATATCCATCATCACTATCTATAATGGGATTATCTCACTGTCCAAATCATCTATCACTGTCCATTTAAACAAATATCCTTTCGCTTACAGCACAACAATAGTGATTTGTCAAACCAGCTATTGCTTACAAAAATATAAAATAGAAAAGAATCCAGGAAACCACAAGCATTCCCCTATCTCTGTTTGTTCTCAGAACTTACATCATACCTTACAAGTGCACCTTACCAATTTACCCCACTCCTTGCCTTGACATCTACAGACCGGGTGTTTTCTCTCCGCTTATTAGTGTCAGTTTTTAAATCTAAAATGCTAAGTCATAAAACAATTACAGAATCTTTAAAAAACATATGGAACATATTCTAAAATTATAAGTAAAAACATTACTAACATTACTATCCTCATTTCCTTTAATACTCTTGGATTTATACTGGGACTGACTTCGTCCACTTTAAGATGAGTCAATCCTTGAACAATAATTAGCACATTTAAAAAAAACCCCAAGATTAGCCCCCTCCCCTCTGAAATGTTAAAGTTCCTTCCTGTGATGAGACATGAAAACAGAGAATAATCTTACCGACTTTAATAAATGTTAAAACTCAGTGATATTTTTGACACCTAATTTAATGACAAACTAAAGTAACCCATCAGTGAAAATTCCCACCCCTGCAGCTGAACATGCTGTTTGTACCAGGATATCATTTTAGAGAGGGCTAACTTGTAACTGAAACCTACACAGTCTTTTACAAAAATCACATACTGTACCTTCTAACAGTTTGTAATCACAAAGAGTAATTCATACTTCAGTCTTGAAACCTAATGTTGTTCAAAGCAATTACATCAAATCTTCCCAATCTCATGTTGGTTCTGAGTTTCACGGGGTTCTCCTGCCTTCAGTGCTAGCATTCATAAGTCCTCTTCCAACCTGGGGAGTCATTTCAGAAAAAAAAAATTGGGGGGAGGGGGAGGGGCAAAATTTTGACAGCATCACTGCTTCCACCATCCCACTGAGGCCTTGGCTGCTTGAGAATGGGGGAGGGAGGGGTTAAGACGCTGGTCCCATTCTGGAGGGCGGCAGGGAGTTGGCATGCCAGTTAGGGGTAGGAGGAAGTGATGGGCCAGGAGAGGGGGTGTCTAACCGATGGTCGGCCCCTGGTAGGGATTGGGTCCTGGTTCAATTTACTCCAGGCCACCACTGCTGCTTTCATGTCTGGCTTGTGGGACCCAGGGAGTGACACTAGTGACCACACAGTGAGTAGGAGTCCTGGCCCAGCCCAGGCCGCCCCCCAGGACCAGGGAAGACACCGTACGGCCAGCAGGCAAGCAGCTATGAAAAGTCGGGGGTAGGGAGAGCAACTTCCTCCTACGACACACACCGCATAGCAAATGACACCCTACTCACAACCTTGAAAATGCACTGCTTTTCTTGGTGTCAGGGTCAAGGGAGGACAAAGTAAAGTTGTTTCCACAATTTTTTTCATTGAAAACTACTTTTAACAGTATTGGCATCAGTACACTTCTTAGACTGTCAGGGCGGCTCCAGGGTTTTGGCCGCCCCAAGCAGCCACCAAAAAAAAAAAGCGATCGCGATCTGCGGCGGCAATTCGGCGGGAGGTCCTTCGTTCCGAGTGGGAGTGAGGGACCGTCCACTGAATTGCCGCTGAATAGCTGGACCCGCCGCCCCTCTCCAGAGCGGCCACCCCAAGCACCTGCTTGCCAGGCTGGTGCCTGAAGCCGGCCCTGTAGACTGTGTTAAAGAGGCTAAGTTGGGAAATGTAAATCCTTTTAGACCATATTCTGCTCTCACTGAAACTCACATAAGTACAAATTAGCTTAGCTCCACGGATGTCAATAGAATTACTCCACAGCTACACCAGTGTAACTGAGAGCACAATTTATCCGTTGTCTGTATAAATTCCTACAGCTGTCAGGATCTCATGAAAAAGGCAGTTCTCAGTGTTCAAAGATACCATGATCAGCAGCCCAGTGCTCTTAAATTATTAACAAAAAATTGATTTCCCTCAACTCCCACTTCCATAGTTGCCTGGCACTTTCAGAAAGAAATATCTGAGGAGCTATTGGTTTCTTTGCTTTTCCATAAATTGTATCTAGGCAGATGAACCTGGGGTTCCGTACTTCCGATTTTAGTGTGCTTAGAGCCTGATCGAAAATAGCAACAATTATTCCTCACCCTTGTTCACATGGAAGAGTAAGTGGCCATATCTAATGGCTGGAGATAAATTGCATTCCTGATTGCATGCTATTTTTTCTTTAATTGCTCAGAAATGGTACATGGTAAATTATTTCTATATGTGGCTGAGCCTTTAGAGGTTTGGGCATCACACTTAGTTGGTTGCTTGTTTTGCTGGCTTAGTCAACAAGGCCATGTTAGAAAGAAGTCCTATATATTTTGTTTTCAGTCCACATGTTGCATGAAGCTGTGTCACTTGAAGTGCTCATGCATTCTGGCTGCTTTAGATGTAGAAGGAGCCATGTACTGCTCAAATCCTCAGGACTATATTAAATTAGTTTGGGTTTTTATTTTTGAATGCTGTTTTTCCAGGAGTGCATGATATAAACATCCCTATTACTATGCATTCATTCTTTAAGTCTTAATCTGCAAGGTTTTTATAAAATGACCATGTGGGTAATTAACATTATGACAGAGTTCAGAGTATCCTTTCAAGTAGGTTACCTCCACACAAACACATGGAGCAATCCATCAGAACCAGTTGAATTAAATCAAGGGTGGACCTGTACATTGTAGCTCTACACTGTAGCTCACAGTAGCACTCATCTGTAATACCGAGGTGCGTTCTGTAGTTACTTCAGCTTGCAACATACAATACTCTGTTGATCCAAGTGGCTTGGGACATGTACTCATCACAGGCTGAATCACCATATTAAACATGACTGCAGTCTGCTCTATTTTATGCTAATTGGGAGTAGCCTTTAGGCTCCTGGCAAGTTTCTTTTGATTGAATAGCTCGGAAGAAATGAACAACTTATTCAAAAGTCAGGTAAGAATTATTAAATCCATTCTGCATGAGGGGAAGGTGTGTGTCATGCAGAGTTCAGAAACCCCACTAGGGTGCAGCCCCACTTCTGCAGGCCTTCCTAGTCTCAAATGGCAGTTGCCTCCTCCTTCATGAAAATCTAGCAGCACATAATCTCTCAATGGCTCTGTGTCTGTAATCCTCCTAAATACCTTCAGAGTTTAAGGGCCAGGGTAGTCAAACTCACAGCCAATGGTACCGCTCAGATTCAATGGCCACAGCACACTACCACAAGCCACACAGTTACTCAAAAGGGCACATCCCTGCATTGGCCGGGAACCAAACCCAGGTCAACTACCTGGAAGGCAGCTATGCTCACCACTATACCACCAAAGCAGTAACTTTTTAAAAGATAAGAATAGCAAAAAGAATATTTGGAAGTGAACCTGTCTTTGTTGTCAAACTAAAGCATAATCTACTCAAATACATATTTGATATTTTCTAGTTCCAATTTCAAAACTGGCCAGGTTGTTGGCACAGGAACTGTTTGCATTTTCTAACCAGGCCTGAGCCCCAACATAGTCAGTCCCAGTGATGAGCCAACAAGCATAGTACCAAGAAAGACTAGTGTATGTCATTGAGTGTGTGTGTGTGTGTGTGTTCATATGTATATTTGATAGCAAACTTTCCATAAACTGAAAAGAATGACTACTTACAAGCTCCCATGTTTGTTCTTCCTTTTGTGTGCCAACTCTCCCCTTTTTTCTTATTTTCTTGCCAATTTTTTTCAGTGTCTGTGTTTTCACTCACACAAATTTTTGGTTTGTACCATAAAAACGGTTTAGAGTATTTTTATCTGCCACCCTAAAATTGTTCCTCTCAGGTAATATCTTTTGGGCGAGGTAATATATTTTAATGGACCAACCTCTGTTGGTGGAAGAGACAAGCTTTCAAGCTACACAGAGCCATTCTTTAGGTATAGAAATAGGTCTGACTTTTTCCAGACCTGAAGAGCTCTGTGTAGCTAGAAAGTTTGTCTCTTCCACCAACAGAAGTTGGTCCAATATAAGATATTACCTCACCCGCTTTGTCTCGCTCAAATGATGTTTTGTAATTCTGCTTCCTCCCTCCTTCTCTCTCTCTCTCATGATTATTTTTTCACATTTGAATCCCTCACTTCACTGTTAGTGCCTCTTCCTTTATCTGTCTTCCCATCTCTACCCTGTTCCCTTTTCACATATACCCTCCTTGTCTCTCTTCCTATCTTCTTGTTCTGTGGCAATATTTCTCCAACCCCTCAACTGCGCCAACAGTTCAACCTTTCCACTGCTCTATCCATTTCCCCCTCCTATCTATTATTTCTCTCCACTTCCCCCACCCAGCTTTCTATCCCCCTTCATTCACTCTCTATAATCTCTCACATTGCTCCTGGATTTGTGTATCCATGTCCCCCCATCTCTCTCATTACTGCTAGGGCTTCTTTTCATTCCTCCTCTTCCTCTAGGGGTCATTCCCCACCCTTAAAAATATTCACTTAACCTAATCTTAAGGCCTTAATGTCTGCTCCAGACCTCTGTGCTTCCCATTTCCCTGCAGCTGCCTCCCGCCCCAAGGAACTGTCCCTGAAGGGATAGAACAAGGGACACTCAAAGCTTTACTCTTCCCTCAGCGTTTCCACACTGGTCGGGTGCAACGTCCTGCCCCCCTCCCCGAGGCTCTGAGTGACTCCTCCCGCCTGGCTCGCTGCTGTGGAGAGACACGCTTCTGCCTCTGCCGTTCCTGCCCAGGGCATTGGGTAGGGCTTGGCGCCCGGCCAAGGAGAGCACTTTTAAAGAAGAGCCCTCGCCATCATCTCCTTCACACACCACACAGGACTTTCCCAGTCAGGAGAGCAGCCGCAGCAGCGCGGGAGCCCCCATGGGTACGTGGTGAGGGCTGAAGCCTCAGGGCGGGAGCTCCACAGAACTGGGAGATGAGGAAGGTTGTTGGGGCAGGTGGCTGGAGGCTTTGCGGGGAATTAGGGTGGAGGGTTATGGGGGAGAAAGAGCCAAAGTCATCCTTGGTGTAGCCCCCACGGCCTGGAGTGGGAGCTTTGGGGGGCATTCTGCAGGTTTATTGGCCGCTGCAAGTCTCTGCTCTGAGGGAGGGTGCCGGGTTGGGGAGGTGCGGGGGCTATAGAGCTCTGCTCTTGGGGGACCAGGTTTCTGCGTGGGGATTTGTAGCGTTTAGTTGCTTTTCCTCCTCCCCGCCGGGCTTGTTCTCCGCCGGCAGCGTCCGACTGCTCAAGCAGTTGATTCTTGTGTGACCCCCACTTTGTGACTCCAGTGCCCCCCACCAGCGCGTGGCGGAGTGCCCCTGGCAGCAGCACGTGCGCTGCTGTATCCCAGCTGTGGCCGGGCTGCTCAGGGAACCAGAGCGCGCCCCGGCAAGGTACCGCCCCAGCCTCTGCTTCACCTGCTGCTTTCAGGCAGCCAGCGGAGAGGCGGGGCGGCGCTCGGACACCCGCTGAGGAAAGCGGGCGAGCGCCTAGGCCAGGCGCTAGTTATTCCAGCCGGGTGGGGAAGGAGCAGCCTCCCTCGCTGCTCTCAGTCCTGCCCACGCCAGGTCTTTCGGGTCACAGGGCCACCAATGATGCAACTGCGAGGTGCTCGCCTTCGGATTCCTGCGGGCGATCCGCGAGGACCGAGCGCTTTACATAAGCGCAAGGCGGGGTAGAATCATAGGACTGGAAGGGACCTCAAGAGGTCATCTAGTCCAGTCCCCTGCACTCATGGCAGTGAGTAATAGGGTGCATGTGTGCCTGGCTGCAGCCGGGGAAGGGCAGACTGAGGAAATCCCTTGGGGCCGCTGTTCGCTCTGTGCTTGTGGCAGGGCTGCCCAGAGGATTCAGGGGGCCCTGGGGCAAAGCAATTTCGGGGGCCCCTTCCATAAAAAAAAAGTTGCAATACTATAGAATACTATATTCTCCTGGGGGCCCCTAGGGGGCCCGGGGCAAATTGCCCCACTTGCCGCCCCCCCCAGGCAGCCCTGGTTTGTGGAGGGACTGGAGCAGAGTCAGGTTTTGCAAGATGGCTCCTTGCTTCATCGCTCTCCCCCACTTTGGTCCACTGGAAGCTCCAAAGGCTGGGCGTGCGGAAAGCTGTGGGGGAAACACAGCCAGCGCTGCTTGTTACTCTGGGGCATGAGGCTCCCACTGAAGCGGCGAGAGAAAGCTCTGTAGGGTGGTGGGGGTGGAGTGGAGCTCGCCAAAACTGGGGACCTTGTCTCAATGCAAGGGTAGCCGGGGCGGCAGGTTTGTAGAAATTTTGGTGGTGCCCAGAACGCCCAGAGCCCGCCCCCCATACTCCGCCCCACACCTGCCTAAGGCTCTGGGAGGGAGTTTGGGTGGGGGGAGAAGGTCTAGGGTGCAGGCCCTGGGCTGGGGCAGGGGATTGGGGTGCAGAACGGGTGAGAGGTTGGGCTCTGGGAGGAAGTTTGGGTGGGGGAGAGGTCTGGGGTGCTGCCTCTGGGATGGAGCTTGGGTGCTGGGTGCAGGCTCGGGGCAGGGGGTGGGAGTGCAGGAGGGGGTTAGGAGTGTAGGCTCTGGGATGGAGTTTGGGTGTAGGCTCTGTGCTGGGGCAAGGAGTGGGGGTGCAGGCTCTGGGAGGGAGTTTGGGGGTGGGAGGGAAAGGGGGGTTGCAGGCTCTGGGAGGGGATCGGGGGTGCGGCATTTACCTGGGATTCCTAGCCAGGTCGGGCCGGGGTGCCTCCATGTGCTGCTATCCCCAGGCACTGCCCCCCCAGCTTCCTATTGGCTTCAGGGGTGCTTGGGGCAGGACAGGGGCTTCAGGGAGAGGCTGGCAACCATGTGGAGTGAGCAGGCAGGAAGCCGCTCAGCTCTGCTGCACTGCCATGGTGAGTGGGGGCCCCGGGCTGTTTTAAATGGCCCGGGGGACGCGGGGGGGGCACCCGGGGGCAGAAGTGGGGCCGAGAGACCAGTGCTGGAGCCGGGCCCATTGTGCCTGGGCACCAGGAATATTCCTGGTGCCCAGGCACCACGGGCCCATAGAGCTCACGGCCCATGAGGGCAGCTGCTCCTCTTGATGTAGTGGCTAAGCTTTCGTACCTTTACCAGTCCCCGTCAGAACTAATACAACACAATCAGCAGGGGGAAATAATAGAAAAATAAAATAAGTTGCAAAGAAATTGTATTAAACATTAATAAAGAAGTTAATTAAAAATCTCAGCCAACCTGTACTGTGCAAATCAGAGAGGGAAATTTTCTAGGGAAACATATTGATTGTTTCTTTTTGCTTTTACTACCTAACCCAGAGCATCCCGGGTGCATCAGCTACACTTGGGTGTGTTGTTACCTAAATACAAAACTACTAAAATAATCCAGAATCTGACCAATCCTTCCCCTCCCCAAGATTTATGTGTTAGGGTTGTGGCTCTTTAATGCGACCGATTGTATTTAGATAGTGTAATATGGTAGTAATTTCAGAATGGTTGATGATTTTGCATATTAATATATTGCAAAGTTTGGAGCCAATAGGAAAAATTAAAGGACACGGTTTTATTACCTTTTAGATAATTTTTACATAATTTAGATAATTCCTTACTTTTCATGAAAAGTTATTTATTTGCTATCTCTTAACCTGAAAGCTTCTGTACCCATATACCCCCCAATGTTGTGATTGTATGGTCATTAGATCACATGTTCAGTTCAGATTTCTCAGGCTTTGCAACTCAGGGCCGCCCAGAGGATTCAGGGGATCTGGGGGCAAAGCAATTTCAGGGGCCCCTTCCATAAAAAAAGTTGCAATATTATAGAATACTATATTCTCGTGGGGGCCCCTCCAGGGCCGGGGCAAATTGCCCCACTTGCCCCTCCTCTTGACGGCCCTGTTGCAACTCAAAATGCATTTAGGCCTCCAGACTCCAGGAAATTTAAATAAAGGATTGGGGAACAGTTCCCAGGAAGCAAGTCATTAATCTGACCCCCTCACCTTTCTGACCCTGGTAGAGAAAGGAGTAGTGATTATACCTTTTGGTTCCCAGCCCTGCTAAGTGGGAGCATCAAGTCTACCTTGCACATGTATTATTGGAATAATTAAAGGTGTGCACTTTTGTCTATAATCTGAAAATTACCCATAACTGGCACTGGTGTTGCTAAACCAGTAACATAGTTTAGCTGCAAGTGAGCAAAAGACAAACCATGTTCATCTCTTTTTCAGAAACCAATTGAACACAAACTGAACACAGTTTCTCCTTGGTTACAAAATTAGGAAATTTAAATGAAAAAAAAATTAGATTACATTAAGGTTTTATAGTTAAAATTTCAAAAAGGTTCACACAACACTGCTAACTCACTCACCTTATGTTTATGTAGATACTATTTCTGTTTTTCTTGCTAAATTGGTGTGCTGTACCACAAAACATTTACTGTGGGATGTGCCATGTGGCTGAGTTAATGTTTGTTTAAAAACCTTAACTTTCCTTGACTTTTATGTAATCAGTGCAATCTTAATGTTGTACTAGCAGTTTTTTATTTAATTATGGTAAAAAAAATTCACATCAGGGTGTTCTGCCCCAGCAATTGTTTATCCAATCGGTATTTCATAGTCAACAAAAAACCTACTTTTCCCTATCAAAATTGATTACTATTTTAGGGGGGAAATTATTGTCACCTCCTCTGAATAAAATAAAATAAAATTTTCAGGAACTTCAAAGATTTTCTTCTGAGAAGAGCTGCCTGTTTCAAATTTGGGAGCATGTGATCACTGTGCTCCAAATACCTTCCTTTGATATATTTTCACTAAGAATTTGTCTCGGCCCTAGATATGTTTAAGAGTTACTGTAAGAGTGTAGGGACATGACAGCTGTTTCTGATTTGAGTTTTGAATAGTTGGCCCAGAGATTTTAGAAACTTTGCACATTTCTAAAGCAGGACCAAACTTTTTCTTGGGATTGGTCTCATTTAGCCAGAGTACATCATTCACATTAATGCTAATGGGATTTGGAATTTTCATGCTTTTTGGATGAGAATACACTCATAACACTTTCCACCAGTCTGGTATTGAATGTTAAATGGATAATCCAATCAGATGCTTGGATGGTGTGTTTTTCTCAAAGGATTAACCCATCCGTAAATAACCAATTCAGATAGATTTAGTGCAGGGATCGGCAACCTTTGGCACATGGCTCGCCATGGTAAGCACTCTGGCGGGCTGGGCCAGTTTGTTTACCTGCCGCATCCGTAGGTTCGGCCGATCGCGGCTCTCACTGGCCACGGTTTGTCGTCCCAGGCCAATGGGGGCTGCGGGAAGCGGCGCGGGCTGAGGGATGTGCTGGCCGCCGCTTCCCGCAGCACCCATTGGCCTGGAGTAACGAACCACAGCCAGTGGGAGCCACGATCGGCCGAACCTGCGGACACGGCAGGTAAACAAACCGGCCTGGCCCACCAGGGTGCTTACGCTGGCGGGCCGCATGCCAAAGGTTGCCGATCCCTGATTTAGTGCTTAACTAGAGGATTATAGGTATCTCATGTCTTTTTGCTTTAAACAGGTATTATTTGTCTAATGTTAAAAATATTTTGGCAATGACGAGGTAAGAGTGGTATAGATTGCTCTTTGGGAAATATTCTTTTCCAGTGAAAGTATGTTAGTCATGCAGTTCATTTTCCATAAAATATGCGAAAAAATTATAGCCACATTGCCATTAAAATAATATATTCCTTTAGCATATTTTACAAGGCAGAATCAAGGATGATGATACAAACTGGAAATACTTTCTGGCCTCTTTGGGTCTGACCTTACTGAAAAAATATCCAAAGAGGGGAAAATTTTAAATTATTAATGAACTTCTTAACACCAAAATCCAGAGAATCCCACACCCAGAAAGTAATACTCTGTGCCAGGTGAACCGTCACTCATGTCGCCA